TGTTCGAGAATCGCAGATCTGTCATCGGCACATGCACGCACATGCCTGTGCAACCTCTCTTCAGGAGGCCGCGCGGGCCCGCACATGCACGCACATGCGGTGAAGCGCGCGGGCGCACATGCGTGCACATCCCAATGCACATGCACGCTCATGCCCTAGGAGCTGTCTGGGACCCCTGTGCCTCCAATGCCTCCTGGCCTTCGCAAAGCTAGCCTGGGGCGTGCCAGGGCTTCCTGAAAGAGTTTGTTGTGCGTTTAGACTCGCCCGCTGCTGGCGGGGGCGGTTTTTCGCCGGGTTCGTGACCTGGCGGTGGCGTGCCCTCTTAGTAAAACACTCGCCCGCGCGCCTTCTCAGCTCGGCTGGAGAAGCAGGGGTTGGGGGGGGGAGGTGGAGGGGGGGGAGGGAGGGGGGGGCGGAGGAGGCGGACGCCCCCGGCTCGGCCGGCCCGCCCGCCTGTTCGGCTTGGCCAGAGGAGAAGGAGGAGGAGGAGGAGGAGGAGGAGGAGGAGGAGGAGGAGGAGGAGGAGGAGGAGGAGGTGAGAGTTGCGAGGATGTCTCAGGCGACAGTGGCTTGACGGCCCGAGCTCAGGGAATCTCGGAATCGCTGGCCTGGCTCGGCCACTGCCACTGGCGAGCTCGGCCTGTGCGAATACTGTGCGTACCTGTGCGGGGCATGTGCGGGACGTGCAAGAATGCCGGGGCCGGCGTTCGTCTCCGGGCGCCGGCGCGTTCGCGTCGGGCCCGTTCCGCGTGAGACGTCGTCGGCAATCTGGAGGCCGACGTGCTTTGACATGAGGTGATCTGGCCACCTTCGCCTAAGACATCCTCGCAACTCTGGTCTCGGAGATGCCCTGCCCCAGGGTGGCCCGGCCACCTTCGCTTGAGACATCCTCGGAACTCTGGGTTTCGAGACGCCCTGAGCTGAGGTGGTTAGACCACTTTCGCTTGAGACATCCTCGCAACTCTGACCTCAGAGATCTCCTGCCCCATGCTGGTCAGGCCACTGTCGCCTGAGACATCCTCGCAAGTCTCGATTCCGATATGCCCCGAGCTGAGGTGGTCAGCCACTGTCGCCTGAGACATCCTCGCAACCCTGATCTCAATGATGCCCTGCTCGATAGTGTCTCGGCCCCTTTCGCCTGAGACATCCTCGGAACTCTGGGTTCCGAGACGCCCTGAGCTGAGGTGGTTAGACCACTTTCGCTTTAGACATCCTCGCCCGAGATGCCCTGAGTTGAGGTGTTCAGGCCACTTTCGCTTGAGACATCCTCGCAACTCTGGTCTCGGAGATGCCCTGCTCCATAGTGTCTCGGCCTTTTTCGCCTGAGACCCTCGCAACTCTGGGTTCCGAGATGCACTGAGCAGGTGGTCAGGCCACTCCTGCCTGAGACATCCTCGCAACTCTGGGTTCCGAGACGCCCTGGGCTGAGGTGGTCAGACCACTCTCGCCAGAGACATCCTCGCAACTCTGACCTCAGAGATCTCTTGCCTCATGGTGGTCAGGCCACTTTCGCCTGAGACATCCTCACAACCCAGACCTCGGAGGTGTCCGGCCCCATGGTCGTCTGGTCACCTTGACCAGCGACATCCTCGCCACTCTGGTTTCCAAGATGCCCTGCCCCATGGTGGTCTGGCCATGCTTGCCTGAGACATCCTCGCAACTCTGGGTTGCGAAATGCCCCGAGCTTAAGTGGTCAGGCCACTGTCGCCTGCGACATCTCTGCGGCATGTGCGGGCATGTGCGTCTATGCTTTCAGAGTTTTGCTTGACCGTGCATTCGACTGTGCGTCGGACGGTGTGGCAT